ACATTGGGGTATTACATTAAAATTCCTGATAAATAACAAATAAGTTCTGGGTTGCAGACTCACAGTTAACATCAATTAAGTCCAAGAATCAGGAGATAAACATATCATATCCTCAGAGTAGGCAAGCGTAGGAGGTGTTAATCTATGCAGCTAGTGGTAATGAAGGCTGGTAGGCTGCAGTTAGAGTTAATAGACCAGCATGGTTGTCCAGCCAGTGATTCTAAATCATATTATGTTTAGTGAGGGCAACTTTTTGTTCATAGGCCACTTTGTCAAGTTCTTTTACTCAGGCACCAAGAGGGTGGAGTATTAGGGACCCAGTCAAGGACAACCATCCTTTATGCCATGAAGAGTGCACTAGACAAGGTCAAAGTAGTGTGTGTATCTAGCTCTGATGAACCTCCCTAGAGAGATATATACATCCTAGAGGTTAGATGAAAGACTGATGAAGAGGAGGATCTTTTCTCCGAAACCCATCTACTGTAATTGCTTGTGATCAGATACGAGCAGAAAGGAGAATGAACTGCCATTCACTTCTAGCTTTCAAAATGTATACTGAAGACACTGCACTCTGCACTACTATAAAAACAAAGCAGCTTGCACATATAGACAGACCAAAAAGATATGGTGAAAATTTGCAGTGCTAATTAGAACATGAAGTCCCATTCACAAAAAAAATGACAATATAATAGATGACAGCAAAGCCCATGTAGATTTCCTATATACAGAAATGAAAAGCTGTGCATAGGAAAGGGGTTCCAATCCAAAGAAGAGACCAGCACCATACACCCAAATAAATTGGCCTCTTACCAGAAGAGTTGATCGCCCACTCACTCCCAGCTGGTTGCACCAGTGTGTCCCTGTGCAGTAGCAATGGCCTTTCATCCAGTGGTGGCTGCAGATGCATGGCTTGACATTGGGATTTAGGACTCTCTTTGCTCAATCAATGCTGTTTCTCCTACCTGTACTAGTGAGTTCATTACGTATTGTTTTTATATGTGCCCCACTTAGTAAAGCATTACAATGCTATGAGGCTTTACATATTAAGATTAGATTTTAGTAATTGGGTTTACATTTACTCTAAGTTTCCTTTATTTAAATATGATAATGTCCTCATCTCTGTGTGCATTGACTGTGTATGCATAATTACAACCAAATTAACGGTCACTGTACAAGGCATGTTTTTTTCTTTTTCAGTCTCTAGGTTGAATGAGAGAAAAGCGATTGATTCTCTCTTCCCCGCTAATAGCCGCAGTTGCCTGAGTAACTGAACAGTGCCTGTACCTGTTAAGATGCAATCACTGTAAGGCTGATAATTTTTCATTTGGCAAAGTTGCTTTATAAATTGACTTTTGTCAAGCTGAGAAGTGCTTGCAGGGACACCCACAGCTCAAATTTAAGCTGATTGAACAAGAATTGAATGACATTTGTATATGGGAACTGTAAATAAATAATGTAGTACTGTACTGGTATGCTTTAAGAACAAACAAATAAAATACAGTTAATGGAAAAAGCAAATAATTTATGAGGAACTACTATGAACGTAAAGGTGCTTTATAAGTAGTTTTTAGCCCTGGGAATATGACATATTACAAGATAGGAGCATTGTTCACAAGTTTTTGACAAACCTTGCTGTAATGTTTTGTTATCTCTATCTATCTATCTATCTATCTATCTATCTATCTATCTATCTATCTATCTATCTATCTATCTATCTATCTATTCTATCTATCTGTCTATCTGTCTGTCTGTCTATCATCTATCTATCTATCTATCTATCTATCTATCTATCTATCTATCTATCTATCTATCTATCCTTCTATGTTTTTGTTTTGTTTTTTTTTTGCAGTAAAAAAAGTCCACATGATTAGACAATTGAAGTGAACACAGCTTCACTGTATTCACTAAGCTCAGTAAACATTATTTACTTTGATATTTCTCTAAGAAGAAGTAAGGACAGAATCTATATACTGACTACCAGAATACAATACCTTGAATAGCAGTATAGGAACATTTCAGTCTAATTTGTCTGCCAGTACACAGAAACTGCAGATACAGTTGTGCTGAAAGGTTTGCATACCCTTCCAGAAATCATCAAATTAAATTTTGGCACTAATGATGAAAATATGACTGATCATGCCAAAAAGACTGTCTTTTATTTAACCATTTCAATATTGGGCACTTTCACCCCTTTCTTGCCAAGGCCAATTTTCAGTTTTCAGTGCTGCCACACTTTGAATGGCCATTTCGCAGTCATGCAACAATGTTCCCATCATTTTTATAATTTTTTTTTTCACCTAAATAGAACTTTCTTTTGGTGGTACTTTATTTTTTGCTAAATAAACAAAAAAAGACCAAAAATGTTAAAAAAATTGCAAATAAATAATTGTTCTTCATAAATTTAGGCCAAAATGTATTCTGCTACATTTCTTTGGTGAAAATAACCCAAATCCGTGTTTATTATTTAGTCTGTAGGAAACTTATAGCATCCACAAACTATGATATATATCTGAAAATTGATTATTCCTGATGTACTGACGGTCCATATCATTTCTAGAGGCCCAAAAATGTCAAGGCAGTACAAATACCCCCCAAATGACACTTTTTTGGGAAGTAGATAGTCCATAATATTTAATAAGAGGCATGGCAAGTTTTTCGGACTTCTAGTTTCTTGTCATTTTTTTTTTAAATTAAGAAATTCATTTTTATTTTTTCCACAATTTTAATTTACATACTGTCACCAATGCAGTACAGCATCATCATATAACTGGTGTGGCGGTGATCAGGGACATTGACTGGGGACAGTACAAAAAAATAAAATCAATTTTGTTGGTTTTTCTTATTACATTTTTTTTCTTTTTTTGTGATTTTTTTTAACACACGGTGACCAAAGCAATATAATGTTACCATAGTCTCACATACCTTGTGGCAGAGCCTGACGTGTAAAGGGAGGCCTCCCATACAGCCCCGGCTTTGAGACCACTGATGTTGTGACAGTGGCCAGGAGAGCACGGTGAGGTATGAGTGCATGTAAGATGTTCAATCAGCTGCAGACCCAGGACAGGACAGACAGCAGGTGGCAGGCACTTGACAAGTAGCTGGCAGGTAGCAGGTGCAGCAGTACTGGTAGCACTGAACAGAAGTACCAGCAGGAATCAGATAGCATGTAGGGTAGGACCCATAGAAAACTGGATGCATAGTCAGATGAGCCAGGTCAGCAACAGACATTGGCATAAACGGCAGGCAGAGAGTAGTCCGAATACAGGCACAGGTCAGCAACATGGAATCAGGAAGATGGGCAGAAGACAGAGCAAATCCAGAGACAAGACAAGGTCAGGGCAGGTAGAATTCAAGCAAGGTTAGAGTAAGCTGGGTCAATAACAGAAGTCTGTACAGGATCAGATGCAGGAAACAGGTAAGAGTTGTAGATCAGACAGCACTGGCTAACAGAACTGCTGCGTTTAAATAGTCCCATTGGTGCCAACATTTGTGCCAGCGCAACCGTGTATGTCTAGAGGCTTCAGCTGTATTATGGATAGTACCTTCTTGACACATAGTAGTGTACTACTCTAGGGAAGTGATCAGTAATTTTTTTTTTACACATTATGATTGCTTATAGCAGTGAATTTCAATGCTATAGGCAAGCATTTCACAGAATTAAATTGATTCTGTTTGTTTTGTTGTGATTAGCCGTGATTGGCCACAGCATATCACATGGTACAAATGGGCTGTGATTGGCCTGTTAGCACTGTGACCAATCACTGCTAACAACACAATTGTAACAATGAATGCAATGAATCAAAGCCATTCATTGTTTACAATTGTCATGTGATCTGCTGTGATTTGTCACAGTGATCACATGGTACTGGCAGCAGGCCAGTACACTGATAAGGTCAAGATGGCAATTAAAGGTTATTTAAAGGTTAATGAGCTGCATGGTTGAATTGCCAGAAAGAAGCCTTTACTGTGCCAATGCCACACAAAAAAGCCTTGTGAGACATGTCAAGGTGTTGTCGGGCATATTGTAACTGGACTTTTTTGTGGCATTGACACAGTAAAGGCTTCTTTCTGGCAACTCAGCAATGCAGCTCATTTTTGTTCAGGTATCGTCATATTATGCTTCTTGAAACAACCACATTATCTTTCTCCAGAGCAGCCTGTATTTCTCCTGAGGTGTATTCAAAACAATTCTTATGACAGTTGTGGCTGCAATCTTTCTTGGTCTATCTGACCATGGCTTAGCAAGAGATCCCCAAACATTCCACTTCTTAAAAAGTGATTTAACAGTACTGACTGGCATATTCAAGGCTTTGGATAAGATATATTTTTATATCCTTTTCTATCTTAGTAAAGTTCCATTACCTTGTTACGCCATCTTTTGACAGTTCTTTTCTGCTCCCTATGGCTCAGTATCTAGCCTGCTCAGTGCATCCACATGACAGCTAACAAACTTAATTATTATTTATACACAGACATGAATTAATTTAAAAAACCACAGATGCGGTAAATTAAACTTTAATTTCCATTTTAACCTGTTTATGTCACCTTGTGTGTCTGTACCAGTGCCAAACATTCCAGGGTATGTAAACTTTTGATCAGGGCTATTTGGGTGATTTCTGTTATCATTATGATTTAAAAGGAGCAAAAAACTATGTGATGTCAAATGGCTTCATATGATCACTATTCTTAAAAAAAGGCAGTTTTTTGGCATGATCATGGCATGATAATTTCAATAAACAGTATACTGTATATATACAGTAGCTCACAGAAGTGAGTACAGCCCTCACATTTTTGTAAATATTTTATTATATCTTTTCATGTGACAACACTGAAGAAATGACACTTTGCTACAATGTGACGTAGTGAGTGTACAGCTTGTATAACAGCGTAAATTTGCTGTCCCCTCAAAATAACTCAACAAACAGCCATTAATGTCTAAACTGCTGGCAACAAAAGTGAGTACACCCCTAAGTGAAAATGTCCAAATTGGGCCCAAAGTGTCAATATTTTGTGTGGCCACCATTATTTTCCAGCACTGCCTTAACCCTCTTGGGCATGGAGTTCACCAGAGCTTCACAGGTTGTCACTGAAGTCCTCTTCCACTCCTCCATGATGACATCACGTAGCTGGTGGATGTTAGAGATCTTGGGCTGCTCCACCTTCCATTTGAGGATGCCCCACAGATGCTCAGTAGGGTTTAAGTCTGTGTCAAGGTCCTACCTTTCCTCAGGGCTTGTGCTGCTCCATGTGCTGGCATCCATCTTAGGTGTCTGCAAAGCATTGTGGGATCCTTTATGCTTTCAGCCCTCTGCGGTTCCTCCCCCAGGAGGTGGCAGCTTATCACATATAAGTCTGCTGGTTGTAGCTGTCCATTGCATTCGTGTCCTGTCTGTTGCACAGCAGCAGCTCCTGTTTAGTTTCTCATTGCTCTCCTGGATACCGACTCGGGTTTGGCAAGACTCCTTCCTGGCTTCTGACCCCGACTCTGGCGACCATCCTTCCTGGCTTCTGACCCCGGCTCTGGCGATCATCCTTCCTGGCTTCTGACCCCGGCTCTGGCGACCATCCTTCCTGGTTACTGTCCTACCAAGTCATCCGCTGTTGCTGTTGGACTTGCATAGACTCTGTCTTGTTTTTGTATAATAAACCTATCTTTAATTGCACCTCCTTGTGTGTCTGGCTCCTTGCTCCCTGACACTACACGAATGCCATGAATCCTGACAGTGCAGGTACGTCCTCGCTCCCTATGTTGGTTGCCAGACTTGATCAGCAGGATCTCTGCTTGCACTCACAGCGCACCTTACTCCTGGTGCTATTAGGCAGGTTGTCACTCCTGTGGTCGCTCCCGCTGTTGCTCCGGTTGTTGCGCCTACCTCCGCATCTGCTGCCACACCTGAGGTGCCCAGAGGTATGACTGGTTCAGTGTCGGGGTTTCCTTAACCAACTGGGCATATATTTTGAATTGATACCCCACGCTTTTTTTCCTACGGAGAGGTCAAAGGTGGGCTTCCTAATCTCGCTGCTCTCAGACAAGGCCTTGGCCTGGGCAAATCCCTTATGGGAGAACGATAACCCTGTGATTCATGAGTTTGCCGGTTTTGTTGCCTCCTTCCGTACTGTATTTGATGTGCCTGCTCGCTCCACTTCTGCTGCTAAGCTGCTCATGTCCATGCATCAGGGATCATGAACCGTTGCCAAGTACGCCATAGAATTTCGTACCCTGGCGGCAGAGGTGGGTTGGAACAATGAGGCTCTGGTGGCTGCTTTCTCTCATGGTCTCTCAGATGCGTTGAAGGAGGAGATTGCAGCCAAAGAACAGCCTGTGGAGCTCGAAGCACTCATTTCCTTCCTAATCCTGATTGACACCAGGCTCAGGGAGAGGCCTTCACTTAAGGAGCATCTACGGAGGCCTCCTAACCGATTGGCGCCTACATTTTCTGTCCCACCCATTCCTCCCTCTCCTCCCACGCCTCCTGGGGATGGCTTGTCTGGCGGTGAGCCCATGCAGCTGGGGTTTGCTTGCCTTTCCGAGGGGGAGCGGGCCTCTCGGCGTCGGGAGGGTCGCTGCCTGTACTGTGGTCTCAGTGGGCATTTTCGGCAGTCCTGTCCGGTCCGTCCAGGAAACGCTCGCACCTGAGATCCTGTCGGGGGCAGATCTTGGGTGGAGTTTCCTCGTCCCTGGTTTCCCGCAAAGATAAACCGCTATTCACCGTTGTCCTCTCTTGGGCGGAAGGCTCGGTGACAGCCCAGGCCTTGCTGGACTCTGGGGCTGGCGGGTTGTTTATGGACAGTTTGTTTGCTCCCCAGTACTCCATTCCTCTGCAGGCTCAAGTTACTCCATTGGTCCTCGAGGCGATAGGTTACCCACGAGACCCTGTCGGTTGAAGTAGCTATTGGGGCTGTTGGATGGTCGCCAGAGCCAGGGTCAGAAGCCAGGAAGGAGTCTTGCCAAAGCCGAGTTTCAGTAATCCATGTCCTTAGTCTGCTTGTCTTCAGCAAACTGTTTGTGGGCTTTCTTATGCATCATCTTTAGAAGAGGCTTCCTTCTGAGATGACAGCTATACAGACCAATTTGATGTAGTGTGCGGCATATGGTCTGATAGGCTGACCCCCCCCCCCACCCCTTCAACCTCTGCAGCAATGCTGGCAGCACTCATACGTCTATTTCCCAAAGACAACCTTTGGATATGACGCTGAGCACGTGCACTCAACTTTTTTGGTCGACCATGGCGAGGCCTGTTCTGAGTGGAACCTGTCCTGTTCAACCACTGTATGGTCTTGACCACCATGTAGCAGCTCAGTTTCAGGATCTTGGAAATCTTCTTGTAGCATAGACCATCTTTATTTAGAGCAACAATTCTTTTTTTCATATCCTCAGAGCGTTCTTTGTCATGAGGTGCCATGTTGAACTTCCAGTGACCAGTATGAGAGAGTGAGAGCGATAACATCATATTTAACACACCTGCTCCCCATTCACACTTGAGACCTTGTAACAGTAATGAGTCACATGACTCCGGAGAGGGAAAATGGCTGACTGGGGCCAATTTGGACATTTTCACTAAGGGGTGTACTCACTTTTGTTGCCAATGGTTAAGATATTAATTAGTGTGTTTAGTTATTTTGAGGGGACAGCAAATTTACACTGTTATACAAGCTGTACACTCAATACTTTACATTGTAGCAAAGTGTCATTTCTTCAGTGTTGTCACATGAAAAGATATAATAAAAAATTTACAAAAATGTGAGGGGTGTACTCACTTCTGTGAGATATATATATATATATATATATATATATATAGTGAGTGTGTGTGTGCGTGTATTCGTTCTCTCTGGAGCATGTACATAAACTTTTGTTGACAGGATACATTTATAATTTTAAAAATATATACTTTTATATAGTAAAATGAGTTGGATAATAGTGAATGGCACCTTAACATTTCAGAAACAGCCCTCCAGTTTTTAGGTGTCTCTTTATTGCTACTCAGCCACCCTGTATCCCAAACTGTTGATTTTATGTTCCAGGGTCTGTGCTCCTCTTGTTCCTTAGGCTGTGTTTTTCTTATTTATTGTGTCTTCTGGGATTTCTTGAAAGAGAAGGTGTTTTATGGAGCTACTGATGTGTGAGAAGGAAACTTGTGTCCCACTGTGTTGATTTAAAGGACAACTTCATTTTTAGTGAATTTGTCCTTTACGTGTTCCACTTACTTCCCCAAGAGGAATTCACCTAGCAAAAATATGTACCTTGTCACCTACATTGGCCAATTGAGATTTTTTTTTTTTATCAAAAACCTAGTCTATAGTGCTGACCGAAAGGTATAGAGCAAAAATATTAATATGTTTTATTTTATGTTTACCTGACTAAAAAATACTTTTGTGTCCATGAATAAATCATTTGTACCATTATAGTGTACATACTTTTTAAAGGTGAGGAACAATTCAGGATTAGCTATAGAATCTGAATTTATATCCAGCATGAGCAAAATACATTAAAAGCAAACCCCAGCAACTCCTAAAAACAAAAAAACAGCTTCAGCTTCTACATTTGCTGGATCTCTGCTACTGTCCCCTGCGGAGTATGCATTCAGCAGTGTTGCTTTGCTCCTCTTCTTGGTTAAATGATGGTCATTTTTATTTAATCCAGAATGTAAAGGCTTCACCTGCAAAAACACAAACAAAAGAGGATGCACCAGCCTAGTGCATTATCTGATGGGACCACAGCCGCTCATCCTCGGGCAACTGCTCAGCTCCTCCATTAAGCCTAGATGACCTGCGAGCAGTCACGGCTGACATCAAAGCTACACTGGCCACGGCCATATCCGACTTGCGAACCGATATTCATGCCATTGCATCTAAAGTAAAAGAGGTAGAAAGAGCTGCCCGCCATAACACCACACTCTGCCATGTCCAGCAAGTAATGGAATCCCATGCAATACATCTCAGAGAACTTCACCTCAACATGGAAGATCTGGACAATCGTGGACATCACCTCAAACCCAAGGGTAAGAGGACTACCCGAGTCCATTGATCCTACCCACTTGTCGCAAGCTGTCCTGGCTATTTTCAATGACCTACTGGAACGGCCACATGACTCCCCCATAGAATTAGTGCATCTCCATAGAGCTCTGTGGCCTAGAGGTAGACACTCAGACCCCCCCAAGGGATATAGTATGCTGTTTTGTCAACTTTCCCCTGAAAGAGGAGATACTGAGAAAAGCCAAAAACAAAATTGGCCTAACATATCAGGGAGCAGATATTAAAATATATCAAGGACTCTCTAATATCACTTTACAATGCAGAAGGGAATTACAACCCTTATTGGACATGTTGCACTCCAGGGCTATTACATACCGCTGTCAGTTTCCCTTTTGCCTCTCTGACACATCCCAGCTAAGCACGGCTAACCTAAGGGCACAGGAAGACCTAGAGCACTTCTGTGCTGCACTAGACATTCCATTTATTAATCTTCCTGATTGGTACAGCAACTTTCGCATCCCAACATTGAGGAAAGCTACCTCTAGGTGGGCTACCAGGGCACTAGGCATCGCCTCTCTCCACCTCCATCTTCTCCACCTCCAGCTGCCAGTGGAGTTCCGTGCATATCAGCCCCATATCTTCACCTGTGCACCGCAGAGTCTGCCACTCTTCCTAAAGCAACATGTTCTTCCCCCTACACCAACATTTGACCCTGACACACTAACTCTGTTTCAGCTGCTTGCCTGTCAACAGCTCAGAGGCACCCCTCGAGACCTCAAACATACCTCAAACTCATACCACTGATCTCTGAATATCTGCTTGCTCCATCTCATCTGCCCAAAAACATCTCCTATCCCTTGCTGTTTTCATCCATACCTGCTGATACCATTAATCCATTACATCCCTTACTGACCTCTGATGCGACTTACACCATATATCACACACGCTGATCCATTTCACTTACCTGTGAATTCTCCAATGCTATGCTAGCCAGTACTCCATCTATGCTCTTCATGATGGAATTGATACCTGGTCCAGGCAGGCCACTACATGGTCTCATTAGCTAATCAATCTTTCACACTTCTATGCCTCACCATGAAGCCCAGGTCTGGGATGTTGCTCCCTCACACTGCTTCATTTGCCTATCAGATCATCTATACGCAGCAGCTACAGCTGATCAGCCTTGCCACCTACGGTAATGACCAAGAAGGCTGTCTTCTCAATCACCTTCTGCAGCCCTACAACAGATTTCAGTTGCTACCTTCCCATACTTCTGATGGTTCCAACACAGTCCTCCAAGCTTGACTTCTCTCCACTGCACAGCCTTCCCCAGCTCACCTTCATGAGTTGCCTCCTACCAAATATTGAAGCGGAGCTAACAGGAACTCTTAACATCCACCTCCGTGTTCCCCAGCACATGGAAAAAGAATTGGTAACACACAATCTTGGTCCCATGGACCTGGCTGCATCCACGGACTTCCTCCCACTTGCCTTGCATACTTCAGCCACAGGTTTCCTTTCTTTGACCACATCTTTCTTCACCATAATAAGTGTGATACAACTCTACTCTGCATGTATGCGATGTACTAATGGGAGCTTTATGGCCTTTCACTCTTCTTCGTGTTCCATCTACTGTGAAAGCAAGCTGAGGAGACTGGCATACTACTCACTCTATTCTTGACCACTTGAAGCATGTAAACGTGTAGTACAAGGGAAACTCATATCTCTAGCCCCTGCAGTAAAATGCGAGAAGCAGGCATGTCTCCGGGATCTCTTCTCCAGGCTCAAATATTTAGAAGCAACACACAAATGTACTTTAGCCAGCCAGACCTATCAGGGACTTATTGATGTTCGTACCCTTCTCTTGGAAGAGCTTGGGCAAAAACTCAAATGGAAATACACTTCAACCCAAAAACTCTTCTACGAACATGGCAATAAATGTGTCCATTTACTAGCCCAAGCTCTACACTCTAAGCAAAGGTCCATCAATTACATTCCTCCAAAGGTGCCCAGGGCTCTGATGAAGAGGGTTTACCCTCGCAAGCACATGGACTGAATGTACATGAATGGTCATTCTCTTTGCAATGTAAACAGTCTCTACTTTAGTAAACAACCCCAAAGAGACAGTGTAACCCAACGTGATTTCAAATAGGGCATCACCTATAGCCTATTTGTGAAACTAAATAAGTATTAAATCCAAAAGAAAACATTTGTTTTATTGCAGCTTACAAATTCTTATATGTGATGTCTCCATTAGTTTCCTTTTTCAGACTTTCTTTCCTCTATTTTCACCTGGTGAACCAGCCTGTAAGTCTGTTTTTTTTTTCAGAAAATAAGCTCTTTTGCAGCTATAGGGATGAGACAGACCATTTAACACTGGGGTGCTTAAATTGAACATCTTTTTTTTATTTCTATAAAACCTTTATAATTAGTTACAGCAAAACGTTTTTCCTTTTTTTGATAAAGTATTAGTTGGTTTTCAGCGTAAATTTGTTACTGTATTTAATCTCCTAGTACTTCTAACACTTCCATCCTCCAGACCTAAAATGCTGCTGTCCAAATCTACCCCCTGTGCTCATTTATCCAGAGTGGTGTCTGTATAATACAAGGGGTGTATTACTGGCCAGATCACCAGGGGAACACAGAGAGGGAAAAGGTATTAAAAATGGAAACCACTATACCTAATGATTGATAAGCTGCAATATATAACTTTTTGGGTTTTGGGGTTATGACCACTTTAATTATAGAAAGCAATATTATTTTTAAATCATTTAGAGTATTTTTCAAGCATCGTCTGCAAATGTACTCTGGTAGAGCATACAGTATTTGGATGTGAAATAGATTTTTTTTCTTTTAGAAGTAACTAATAATGAGTTAATGGAATCACTCCTGAAAAGGATAATTGATCACATAAAAACTCACAACTTGCTGAACCCAAAGCAGAATGGCTTTACTGAAGGAAAAGATTATGTCAGACTAATCTGATTGAATATCTTGACTATATCACTAATGTTTTGGACCAGGGTGGTGCTGTGTGCCTCTCTTGATTTGAGCAAGGCATTTGATACAGCTCCACATAATGATCTAATAAAAAAGGTTGTACAAGCTAGAACTTAACCCTTGGGTGGTTCAATGGATATGCAGTTTGCTAAAGGATAGATACCAGAGTGTGGTTGAAATTGAG